AGGAAATGTACTGATAAATTCTGTTAGTCACAAAGTAGACTAGGGCATGGCAGGGAATCAGATTTCAACTAAACATCCGGGGTGGGGGGGACTCTTAAATGAAAGAGGTGCTTACTAAAACAAAATTAGAAGAGTGTGGTCTATTTTTTTAATTGGCTTAATTGACCATCCATCCATAACACTACATTCCATCCTTTTATTTTGTAGACCTACATGCTACAATTAATGGTATTATATGATTCTACAATCTCTTTGAACTAAAATGCTAAAATCCAGTTACCCAGAAATGTGAATATGTTTCTGCAATTTTATTTTCTCTTATTTTAAATAACTCCAGGCAATAGCGTGGGATCTCATGTGGAACACAGGAAACCTGTTGTCTCCACTTCACTATAAATCTACATCAAGATTTGGAGTTGCAGCTTAGAAAGCTAATAAATGATGCGTTATAACAAAAATAATTATTTTTTATCAAATAATTTGTAGTTACTATCCTTTCTCTGGACACTTCAGGTCCCTTCCCTGAAAACTTGCCATCTTGCAGACCCTAGGAAGTGTGCCTTTTCCACTGTAGTTCCCACCTTATGAAACAAACTTTCCTTTGAGGTCCAGCTGTATATATATATAAAGAATGCAAAGCACACAACACAAACACACAAAAAGAGAGGGACATGTGGTCTCTCATCAAAATATTGTAATGTTCAACCTGTACCAACATTAAACTAAGATAAAGTATTTTAAAGTGTCTGTGTGCATGAGGCAGAAGGAAGGAAGGAAGGAAGGAAGGAAGGAAGGAAGGAAGGAAGGAAGGAAGGAAGGAAGGAAGGAAGGGAAGGGAAGGGAAGGGAAGGGAAGGGAAGGGAAGGAAGGAAGGAAGGAAGGAAGGAAGGAAGGAAGGAAGGAAGGAATGAGTAAGTAAGTAAGTAAGTAAGTACATAAGTAAGTAAGTACTGAGGGCTAATAATAATCCCATATTTCAGGATCAATGGGAAGCATAATTTCACACATATTATATGAAATTCCCATTCTCAAACAACATTGAACTATTGAATTCATTGTTTCAATGTAAATAAATTCATAGCTGCTCAAGGACATTTTGAAACTACTTGATAGGTGTTCCTTATAAACATAACCATTTACTTTTCTTGCTGTGGACAGGTGTGCTTTTATTTTTCTAAAGCAGTTGATAGTGACTGGATGACTAGGTGCTATTTATTCATAAAAATGCTGCTGAATGATGTGCAATTGTGACTAGCTATAGTGTCTGAGATATTTTTAAATGTTTCTGATTCTCATGGAGCAAGTCTTTAAAATAAATTCTACATGTCTCTTTACTTTATTTCAGCAGTTCACAGTTTAGAATCTTGAAGAACGAGGTCCAATAGCATTTTTCTCATAATACACAGCAGCTAACCCTTGTTTTAATGAAAACTCTCAAAAGGGGGGGGGGCTCCAACTGCTCAGAGAATTCTATGACTAGCTAATATAAAATTAAAATAAATGAACAAATACTGTGTGTGTGTTTGTGTGTCTCTGTGTGTGTGTGTGTTAAGAGCCATTATGGAATATGGATTCTCTTTCTTCTATTTTAACTAATTTTCTTCTAATTAAATAGATTTTCTTCTGTCTATGACTGTCACAAACACAAGGTGCTTAAATAATTTATATTATATGTGCTTTAGTTATTTATTCATATTTATATACATATGAGAAAACTGACATATGGATGATGTCTTTGTTTTAATAATTAAATTCACACGTCTTGCAGACTGACTATGATAAAAGGATGATGTTTGCAGTCTTAGTATGTATTTCAAGTTACATATTGTCCCAGTGCTATTTATCAAACACCTGAATCTAGTAGAAGAGATAATTTGAGTTTTAATTGATTATATTTATTTCTCCATTTCATGTAAATCTAAAAAGCTGTGTAAAGCTCCAGATCAATGTCTACATAAAGATTAGAAAGCTAATCTTGGGTGTAGCTTAGCCTAACTGATCTGTTTCAAATTTAAGTTCTGTGCTTATAGATTCTTGTGTTTCTGTAAAATATGTGCTTCTGAATTCTGGTTCTGGTTCTGCTACTACGTTGAAAGAACTGCATGGGTATTGTATACATGCATCATGTATATATTGTTGTATATAAACAAGTTTCTTCTAAAAAAAAAAAGATTAGAAAGCTGAAGTTTATTCCAGACAAGATGAGAGTTGGACAGAAGATAAAAGAAACAGTATGTGATAATAAAATTTTCCTCAAGTTTACCATTTGGATGGAGGTCTGGTTTAGCCAACATCTACCAGTGTTGGCCATGAATGTATTCTTTGTCACTATGTATAACTATATGTCAACCATAGCTATTCCTGGAGATGATAGGCACTAGTGACTTCTCATTAACGCTATTAGTATTTATTTTGTATAGTGCTATTATTCGAAATAATATTTGGAAGCATTATGTTGCGACGAATTGATCAGCACATTAGTGCATCATTCTAATCATAAGTTTTTGATGACACTAGAGTTAAACCAACACATTAGGCACTTTTATTTATTGATAGAATAATCTTTGAGACATATTTATCATTATTCATCACAAATTCATCTTAACTTGCAGCTAATACATGATAAACAGTTATGGACAATTTACTCTAACTTCATTGCTTTGAATTGCCATAGAAACTTTTTGTCTTCATATCTGGTGACAAATTTCAAATCCTTCCCAATACATATACCATTAACTAAAATTTCTCAGTGCTCCTGACATCTGTTACCAATGTATGTCTGGAACATGGATATGTGAAACAAAAAAAGATGGAAGAGTTTCATATTACATTCACATCCTTTCATATTTATGTGAAATAGTCTAAAAAACAAATAGGTAAAGTTTTCAGGAAAGATAGAATGGCAAGCTGAGTCATCCCACAGCATTCCACATCTCCAGGTCAGAGCTAAAGTAGCTATTATTATATTCTATTGATTTTATTAGAAATAAAGAATGTTAGAAACCAACAAATTACAAAATACAACTTTTCTAAGGAGTGACATGCTTCTCAGCATTTTGCTGTTTGTAAAGCTGTCTAGAATATTAACGAACAATGGCCTATGATAAACTGTGATATATTTTAAAGCCCTCATTCTTCATTCAATACATCCTGGTTTGGTGATAATAATTGCATGCAATTGTCTTACTATTCTATAATGTTTATTCTGATATTGAGATTGCCCAAAGTAAGCTGTTCTTCCACCAAATAGGAGACTGTTTTTTCTTGTTAGGGAATTATTGCACTTCAGTGAATAATTCCCTCCCTCTGCCTCTCCCTCTCCCTCTCCCTCTCCCTCTCTCCCTCCCTCCCTCTCTCTCTCTTTTAAAAATAGCTTTCTTTAGGTTTCAATTTTAAGATGGGTGCATCTCACAGGTTTTTTTTTTTCTTGAAAGAGAAGGTCCATGTCCTATATTAAAAGTGTGCTTTTAAGAATTTCATTAAAAAAAATAAAATAAAAAGATGGTACTCTTCAGTTCAATCCAGTGTTTGAAGATAGCATAATTTAATGTGTTATTTTACTTGTAGGTAGTAAAGATAGTATATTCCAATAATAGGAATGTATGATTAAGAATATATGTATAAGATGCATAAAGAATAAATAATGAAATCAAATAGTTGCACAATGCAACAGAAGTAAGTACCTTACATATGACATGTTTTCAAAAAGTGCTAAACTTGCTTACATGCTTAACTGAACATCTCAAACCAAAATGATTACAGTATACTATAAAACCTTATTCCGCTCAAAGAGGGTTTTCCCCCTCACTTGTAATGGATATTTTTAATCCTTTGTTAAAACCAATAAGTACATAAAATCAAAGTATGTGAAGTAAGTAAAATAAATTGCTACATATAGCACAACATTTTGGGAATGTTGAATAATACATATATAATGCAATATTACTTTACAAAGTAGAACCTCTTTGTGATTACATTAGAAATGTCATTATATAAGTTTTAAGTACTACTATGAAAAGTATTAGTGATCCCATCAATCTCTAAGGAAAACAAGACAATTACTTGGGGTTTTTTTTAAGTGTATAAAAGGAACCTAAATGTGCTTTCACCTCTATTGCACTATGCATTTACAAATAGTAATTGTATTAATTTAATTTGGGTGGAAATTGCTAAATTGCTACTTAAGTGATAGTTGATGATTTCATTAAACATGATGCTTATATGTAAAACTAATGCTTACATTAAAAGCATTATTTTTAATGTATAATATTTAAAAGTATTAAAAGTGTGAAATTATAATGCTTATTTTGTCATCACCCACATATTTTGGTACATGTGTTTTATCATTTAGACTCATGTGCCTGTATGTATGTCAGTGCACATAAATAAATAAAATAGAACCTGCATCCTCAGAGAAGGCCATTTATGCTGCTTTGTTAGTAGAGCATTTATACTGATAATTTATGAGTGAAAGTCTCCACAAGTCTTCCAAATACACAAAAGACTGGTAATAATTCACCTTCTCTGGAATTCTTAAGATCACACATCCCTTAGCTCAAGGTAGAGTTGCCTCACCACAGGTTTTCTCCAGGCTTCCATAACTAAACCTTTAATATAAACTTCAAGACAAATGATTCCCATAGTGACCCATTTTTACATTAAGCACAGTAGGCAAGTATATCAATCCACAAAAACTCCAAAAAAGCTCTCTCTTTTGGAAGACTTTTTGGCCCTTTCAGTAGTTCTGTCCTGTAGTTCTGTAATTCTTTCCTTTTTTTCTTTGCCAAAGGATATCCCTTTGAGAGAATCACAGTGCCAATTTTGTCCCTGCCCCACCTCATTTTTGCATCTCGTTCTCTCTTACTCTTTAGTAAAACAACTCTTGCAAGCTTTCTGTCAGTCTGGGAGCTTCCTGACCCGGGGGGGGGGGGGGGGGGAGAGTCCACTGCTTTGTCTCCGCCTCCTTCCCTTTCTAGCCTTACTATTGCCAGTGTTCAGGAATGTGGCAAATTGGCTTCTGGACAGAGAAGAAAAGAAGAAACAGAGGAAAACCTCCAAGTAGGTGTACTTTGCTGCTGCTTGCCTTTTCCCGATGCCCTTCTTTGGCTGCTGGTCTTGTCCCCTGGGATTAGCCTCTCTCTTTAGATGCACAATACAAACCTCGAGCTGGTTGCCAACAACAACCCAAAAATGCACGACATCCCAAGCGCCGGCGAATAGATCACCCTGGGAAAAGACGTCCTCGGTTCGTACAGGTTCTGTCGATTGTCAGGGAGCTCTCCAGGGTCCTGAAAACTCGGCAGCTTTTCCAGCTGCCGTAGCGATCTCATTCCGAACTCTCCGATTCTTCAGGAGCCTCCTCCTCCCCTTATGACTCGGACACGTTCTTTTGGGAGGAGGTTGTAAATACCTCGCCATACCATGGCCCACATTAAATACCTGCGTGCTGCTGTCTCAGGATTCTATCTGTGGGAAGCTGCGGTGCTGCTCAGGTAAGTCTCGGTAAATATCAGCAGATATGTTTTGGCTGATGTAAATGGATAAGAAAAAAAAAGTGCGATGATAGAGCTGTAAAAAGGATTCTGTAATCTAATATTCTATAGACATTGTTTAGGATGATGAGCTGGTACATTCTGGACAATATTATTTTGTCTTAATCTCTTGTCCTAATATTTTATTCTGTTTTATAAATACTTTTTTAATCTAAATTTATTATTTTTGTAACTAATACAAAGCAGCAAACATACCTAATACTCCTTCCTCTTCCTATTTTCCCCACAACAGCTCTGGGAGATGAGTTGGACTGAGAGAGAGTGACTGGCCCAAAATCATCCAGCTGGCTTTCATACCTGAGGCAGGACTAGAACTCAGAGTTTCTTGGTTTCTAGCCTGGTGCCTTAACCAATAGGCCAAACTGTTGGCAGTTCAAATGCTTCTTGCCACCCTTTGCCCATGATTCAGATACACTTCTGTTTCCTGCTTTAAAGTCTCCCCATTCTCTTAAGCATCATTGCTTCATAGTGTGTTTGTATGTGTGTGTTGGGGTGGAGGGGACAGCACAAATGAAGCAAGGCATAGCAAATGTTCAAAAGGACATAACTTTCATTCTCCTATTAGTGTAACAAAAAGATGAGTCTCAATCAGCATTCAAAGTCTGCTTTTTGGCATCCATATCTAAATATTATATATCTTTTAGTTTAAGACTACATGATATACTGTTTTCATAAATATATGAGAATTATGTTGTCTCTTCTTAACCTTCCTTTCAAATTTACTTTCATAGAACAAATAAAACAAGAAGAATTATATATATGTTACCTAGGACAATAATAACAAAATGCAGCTTAAGTTTCTCCATAAATCTTTTCCCTAAATATCTTCCCCACACTGAGACATGATGAATATATTATTAAGACTATCAGATATATTTATATTTCTTGTAACTGACATCACAAACACTTTCAAACTAAGGTGTTTGGATTTAAGACAGTGTAATTTTATTCAAATTAAATGGAAGACAAAACTGGATTATTATTTTTTTAAAAGGTTACCTTAAATAATTTACAGAGGTATTACTAACTAGTAAAGCTCAAACATTACATTGGAAATATTCAGTGATATATAAGGTTTACAAATCATGTAGTATAAGGAATCTTTCCCACAAAAATAATATGCCATGCTGAATTCTAACTATTATTAATAATTTTACCAAAATATATGGAATACAAGTCTGTTCTGATGTTTTGTTTTCAAGAATTGAATACATCTTGCATAACATATATGCCTAAATTACTGAAAGGACATATCAACTGTCTTCAGTAAATAATAGTCTCAAAAATTACAAATAGCAATGACAAGGCCTTAAAATGTTACTTTTAACATTGAAAATTAATAGATTTCATTTTTGAGAGAAAAGCGTTCACATGAGCTAACACAAACAATGCAAATTATAAGAATAAATAAAAAGAATAAATAAACTGTATTGAGAAGTGTTTCTTAAAATATTTTAGGTCAAAAAGTTAAAAAATATACTAATGATATCAATAAAAATGTTTCTGAGAGCAATAAATAAATAAATCTCTGGTTGGATAGATGATTCTATCCCTGAATTATACAAAAAAATAGAAGTGTATATCCTAGTGAGCAAGAGTCCTTGTACAGTATAGACTATAGAATTATTTTCAATTTTACACATCTGTTGTTATCTAAACACTTTTACAACCAATTATCTTGTGTTTTATGTAAAAAAGAGAAGGAAAGAATATATTCTAGCCTTGCTTATACAGTTTGTTAGCATAGTGAAATTATCTTATGGATGCTTACCAAACATTACTAAATGTTACTGATACCTTTATACCCAGAAGTGATCATTCTATAAATTCCTGTGTATAAGCAGCAATTATGTAGAACAAAATAAAACAAAACATTTAGAGTGGAAAGGAGGAGAAACGGTTTGTACAAAACTGCAATCCCAAAAAAATTTAGGCCTTAGGGATGGAAGTGCCCGCTTCCTCTAATATTTTTATAGAAACCTCTATTCATTCTAACAATAAAAAACAGCTAGTAAGTGGTAATATGCACAGTAAAAGATACAGTATTTGATAAACCACATTAACATCATCAAACTGTGCAGAAGTGAATATCATTATACTGTGTTACAATGTTTTTGTAAGATCACTATAGTGAAAAACCATTAAGACAAGTAAGAACTCACAATAAAATGTATGCATTTGTGCTTCTGTGCAAGGGTCCAGCCACTCCAGAATCATTCTATCCTATTTTGTTTTGTTTTTAATTATATATTTATTTAATTTAATTATATTTAAAGGCTTTTAAGAAATTAGGATAGATGTAGTCATGCCAATATCTGTTATATTTCTGTAGTGTCGCAGGTTCCCTACCTGTTCTTTATGAAAGAGAGTTTTCTTAAGCTTATATTATGCCTACAATCCTAGTTCCTCTCCCCATGATGTATAGACTGTTTTGGACTTCAGGAATTCAGAATTTTCTTACATAGTTGCCTTTAATATTTGAATAGCTAACAATTATGCATAAATGTCTGGTTTTCTTTGCCTGGTCTGTTTTACTACTGGGATAAAATAGACAATCTATTGAATTAATCCATTGGATGAGATCTTAAAGTACATTAGTCACCCATTAGTCATCCTTAACTTGATTTCATTGGAATCAAAGTGTGAATAATATTGTTTAAATACAATCTGTACTATGTATCTTAATAAGTTTTAATTAGTGATTTTTAGAATGAAGAACAGGTTGGCACACCACAGTAAAAATGCTGGTATTACCAATATTACTCATATAAATATAATGTCCCTTATTTTTCCTGCAATATTTGTATGAATATTATAGAATACAATAATGCTGTCACATAACATGCAATGCTACTTTCTTGTCATGACTTGACAATGCCTTTCCTGTGTTTTGCAGTAAATGATCATCATTTATTCTTTGCTTAAAACTGTCAGGCTAAAGAATTTTTTTCACCCAGAAGCCAAGGGTCAAAAATAATTTACAAAAGTTTTTTATTCATTTCATGTTGATATATATTTAGATTGCACTATTTTCTCTGATGGGTGGCATCCTTAAAACTATAGGTGATAGTATAACTTCTCCCTGATAGAATGGTGCTGGTCTGCATCCAAACCATACAGGAATGCTAAGACCTTGTTCAGACAGAGAAACCTTTACATTTACCTTTATACATCAGAGAAGATTTACAGTATCTGTGTTCATAGAGAAAACTGGCTGACTTAAACTTTCATGTCAAACATTTGATGTTTTCATTTTCTATGCCACCCTAAGAGATTTATGCCATTAATAGTCATATAGTGCATGTTCATTTGGCGTGTGCACAAAACCTTTCTTTCTGCATGATTACTTGTAGGGATAAATGGATCTTTTAAAAATTGATGTACCTGTATTGCATAGATTATAAGCCAATTTAGCCTATTATTATAATACACCCTGACTGATACACCTATATAGGAACTGGCAGAGCTACTTTACAAATGTGGAAAGCATGTCATTGCATGCTTTCTCAAAATATATCAACTAGGGTGCAGGGCTTATTATTTTTTCTTTAATACACGTTCTGGGTTTTTATATTCTTTTATTTTTTCTTTTAGTTTGTCTACAAACTACAAACTACAAAATGTCTACAAACATTTTATCTACATAGTTGTAATATTGAATGTTATTATTTAGAAAGAGGGTGACCATTGTTTTATAAATCCTAAGAAGGGCATAGAGATATTGAAAGATAATAACAGAAGATGATGCCGTTTTGCTTTGCAGCATGCTAGCACCCCATCTTTCCACTTGGTACATTGGTACTCAGATATTATATTGATTGTATGTTGTTGAGAGCCACTCGGAGTTGCTTAAGAAGGGCAGCCATAGAAATCTTTTAAATAAATAATATTGCTACTCCTTCTCCAGCAGATCAAGATGAAGCCTTTTGCAGGCTGTATGTCCCATTTAGCAAGGGAAACTAAATCCAAAACATTTTTTCAGGGAAAACCTTTGTAACCAATTTCTTTCTCCCAGTACCTTTGATTTTTTTCCCCTGTGGATCATTTTTGAATCACAAAGAGAATGAATATCCTCTAGATCAATATTGGCAGCTTTAAAATGTATAGATTTGATTTTGCTTTGTATATTAATTTATACACTGCCCATCTCACTAACTAAAGCAACTCTGGATCTGCTGGCTGGGGAATTCTGGAAGTTAAGTAGTTTACACATCTTAAAATTGCCACGGTTGAGAAATACTGCTCTAGATAATAAAGGCACTTTTAAAATATATTAATTGAGAGACAAAAAGAACCAGAGCCAGGCATAACATGTGTTTGCATGAAATTCCAAACAAAACTATAAAATATCTCAAGATCCATGAAAACAAGCATAAAAATGTAAACATATTTTTGAAGTCTTCCTTCCTTGGGTTTAGAGAGTAAGAGTTTCCCATTTTTCATGGTAATATCCTAATAGATTCTATATGATTATTTGTATTGGCTTGTTGCATGTTGAAAGGGATGCCTGCCTCCCTCCATCGTCCCTCCCTCTTCTCTTTCTTTCTTTCTTTCTTTCTTTCTTTCTTTCTTTCTTTCTGCATACATAGATTTGTACTTAAAGAATCTAGCTTGTTTAACTATTAGAGAGGGAAGCCACATTTTTATAGATAAAGAAGTTATTTTCTGCCAATAATCAACATTACTACTTAAACTGAGAATCTGTATAAAATGAAAAACATGGTCTTCCATAATATACTATAGTTGTGTATTTTTGTAATTGTAGTTAATATACTGGTATATAAACAGCCTCTTTGGAAGTCTCTTAGGTTCCTTGAATAACTCTGTTCAAAATTTTCAGGGATGTAAAACTTGTTTGATACAATTTGTTTTCCACTTTCTACATTTTCTCATTACCCTGTAGAGAGGCTCAGGATAGCAGTCAGTGGGAAGCTCCAGTT